TTTATTTTATTTTTTATTTGAGAGAAGGTATATGTACGAAGTGACTGAGCGACCAAAATCAACTAAGAGACCGGCAACTGAAAATCGCCTGCTTGTATACCCTTTTTGGTGTCGTCTTCTCCAGCAATCATAGACGGTCATTCATCGCGTCTTACATTGTATACGCGGTACTGGGATCGCTAACAGTCAGAGCGCGGCGTGTTCTAACGACACCGGCGATGGTATATCGCGGTATCTTTGATATACAGTTTACATCAGGGGTGTCAAACTCGCGGCCCGAGATGAGCATTTTTGCGGCCCAGTCAATATATCCGACGCAAAGTAAAAATAAAATAGAAATAATCTCGGCCAATAAAATTTCTCCCGAAAGAGGAACGATAGTATCAGAGAAGAGATGTCAAGTATCAGGACGTAAACAATAATTTAACTTTATATATGTTTATTACAATGTACTGGTCAAAATAAAAATATTTGTTTCTATGAACATTGATTCTTTTTTTTGCGGCCCACCTAAAGTTAAGCATTGTTTATTTGGCCCAAGTTAGCTTTTGAGTTTGACACCCCTGGTTTACATCACCGTCGGTGCGCTCTGACGGAACCGGCGGAAACGTGATCTGATATTTTCGAATCTCAGCCCAAAGTAAACTATAGATTAATTTTTTATTCCGAGGCTAAAGTTTCTTTTTCAACAGCAAGAAACAAGTACCAAACATAAATTCCTTAACACATTGCAATGTAACTTCGTGACAGAGTCGTGATCATAAGATTTTTTATAGAATTTACTACGTATAGACATTATTCGTCTACTTTAAATCAAAATAAGACTTAATTTGGCTGTTGTTAATACTTGATCATTAGAGTCGATGCAGATAAATAAATTTTAAGCAGATAGCAGATAAATAAATATAAATTTTCGTACTTTTCTAAGAATATATTAACGACAAAGAAGTTGTAATAAGCATAGAAGTGCACCCTCTTATTTTTGTTATAAACGCATAAAATTATTATCGATTTGGGTGATCTTGTTTTAGTTCTATGTTGAAACTGCGATAAATGATAAGAGCCTCTGATAAAAGTAAAGACTACAGACTCATTTTATTGTTTTATATGGGTGTGTTTAATTTAATCTTATATTATCAAATTTGAAGATAAAGCCTAAAAAAATATATGATTGAAATTGAACCATTGGCACAGTTCCGTTGTCAATAAATTCGAGGTAGATATTTTTCGCGGGTCTTATAGTTTTTATCACAGTTTCAATATAAACATATTCTGAGATTGAGGGTATATGAGCGTTGGGAGAGATTCTATGCATTCTGAATTGTATATATTGTACGTTAACATAAGAAACAACAAGTGCTTTTGTCTGGCGTCTGCTAGTTTCCATGCAAAACCCGGAGCTTAGTGTAAAGGAGTGAAAATTAATGAATTTTTGTTATATTTTAGACAACTGGGTATTGAATCCATCGAATAGTAGTGTTGAAATAAATTTTTTTCGTTACGAAGAATTATGAATGATATTATTATAGTTGCTCATGTTCAGTAATCAAAGAAATTGTTTTCGGTCGTGGAATGTAGCGCCCGTTGTATTATATAGAAATTTAAAATTGGATAGTATTTTTAGTTTGTAAGTGTGCCCGCAGCATGACTGTATTTTTAAGTTGAACGTTGGAAAATTGTAGAAATGGCAGCACTTTGAATATGAATATTCAGATTTGTAACTTTGTGTAATCGTTTTTAACACTCGAACGGCGGGATTGGATCCATTTGAAACCAGAAAAGAAATATTATTATTGTACTATTTGCTTTCTGATAGTTAACTTAAATTTTCACATGTTTCATTAAGGTCTATCATTGTGATCTGTCACTACGGTCTATGGAAAAACTAACGTGTTCAGAAGGAACAGCTGGAAAAATATATCGACAAAAATTGATTAGCAAAATTCTAAATGATCCTAAGCATACTAAGTTTATATTTTTGTGAAGAAAGTCCACCATTCGAGTGTTAGATCTTTGCAAATTGAAAAGATGTATTGAACAGTAGTATTTTATAGATTCTCTTGAACTACTCTTAGTCGGAACTGTGTCATCTCAATATAGTCATACATTATTAATACGAAATTAAATATAAACAATGAGTACAGTGAAAAAGACTCCTAAATTCTACCAACTTTTTTTCGTATACTTTCCAATTTATTTTAGAAACCAGAAATAGAGCAGGTAACCAGATTACGTCATGCGAGAGAGCAATCCTTTGACCTATGGGCGGTGTTAATAGAGGTTCGAAATTACATTTCCTTTTCAAAATAGAGAGAAAATAATTTTGTAAGACGCGTTCCGCCGGCATAGGGCAGTAGCATTCAGTGCTGATTCGATCCACTCGTAAGTCTGAAAATTGCTCCATCGCGGTGATTTTCTCCTGTACATCTCCTGTACATCTTGTTTTTCAAATGTATACTAAACATTATCAATGAAAATCTATACGTTTCAAGTGTCCTCAGGTGCCTTACACTAATAAATTAATACTCTTTCTATTTATTTATTTATCCATTCAGCCTCGTGGCTAGGAATTGGAATAATGTAATATTAAACTTCGTCATCTGATTTAACAGAGTTCTCAGAACACAGTTATGTAAATTGAAACTGTATTACTGCTACTGTTTATAGGAAACGTTTACTCAAAACTATAAATCATGAAAAAGCTCAATTCTATTGAACGGTCTATTCAGTGTCAAACCAGATTGTGGCAGCATATCGAAAATTTCAGGAACTTATAAAATGTAATATAAAACTCGAATCCAGCAGAACCTCTATTATCCGAAATCATCAAGGGAGCATGAGTGTTCGGATAATAGAACAGTTACTAGTTCCAGTGCTGGGTATTATCTTTATCAATAATTATTGGGTTGGCAACTAAGTAATTGCCGATTTCAATTATAGATGTCTCTCACTCCCATTTTTATGATAACCGTAAAAGTTATATTATAAAATTATTATTATTATGTTATTTTTTATTATCCGTGAATGTTAGCAACTGGACAAATTGAATGCAGCGGTCAAGAAAAAGCGACCAGAATTGGTCGATCGTAAAGGTGTCATTTTCCACCAGGACAATGCCAGGCCGCACACGTCTTTGTCCACTCGGCAAAAATTCATGGATATTGGTTTACCACTTATTTCGATCCCTGGACAATTCCCTTCGTGGTAAAACTTTTAATGATGACGACGCTGTAAAATCTCACTTAACTCAGTTTTTGGCCGAAAAGGATCAGACTTTCTACGAGCGTGGAATTTTCAAGTTGTCAGAGAGATGGCAAAAGGTCAACGAACAAAATGGAAAATACATTACAGATTAAACTTCGTTCCAAGTAAAAAAAAATTTTTTATTTCATTGAACAAATCGGCAATTACTTAGTTGCCAACCCAATACATTGATCTACTTGTGTGTAGAATTCAGACGATCGAGGTTGCACCGTACTATGTCATTTTATCTTCGATTTACAGAAATTGCTGACGATGTCAAGAGACGAAGTTATTTCTATAATTTTGCCTAGAGAAATGCAGAAAATCTATGCAGCTCTCTAGGCAATGTCTATTTACCTGGGATCTTTTCCAGAGTGGCCATCTCGTGTATAGGCGATCGAAGGGGTTTGCGCACGGTGGCGTAGTACTGCTCGCGCTGCTCCATGTTCTGTTTATTGTCTAAAGCTGCGGCGGTTTGGGCGTCATGGAGGCTCGCGATTTCCCCTATAAACGGACCTACGGTCATCGTCATTAATCGATTACCGGCCGCGCGTACACGTGCACGTCTCCTAACGTGTAATACGTGTTACGTGTCACGGAAATGCAGGGTCTACTAACGTTTCCGGAAACAGTAAAAGACGGCGCCAGCGGCGGTGATAATCGCCAACGAGCACAGTATCAGCGGGATGATCAGCTTCAAATCCGAGTAGACCGAGTTGTGCTGAGGTATGAATTGATCGATCTCCACGGCTGGCACCGTGCTGCTGGTGTGAGATTGCAAAGTCGTTATTCTGTACTCGGCAACTGAGAAACCCGCGTTATTGTGCGCTCTTATTCGTATGTCGTAGGTCGTTCCAGATTGTAGTTCGCTGAGCGTGTATGTCTTTTGTACCTGTACAACGAATAAGACATACTCGTTACTAGGGATTTCAAAGATTTTCGACAATTGCTCGAGCATTACGCCACGCATTCGTTCGCCTCGAACACTGTCGACGACTGACTTGCTCGGAACGGTATATCTCCGAGTTAAAACATAACATAGGTTGGATTTATTTACTACAGCTTCTAACTTCCCACTGCGAAAGCAAAATTAACACTGTAATGGTTCCATAAAATTGCTTAATTTCGATTCTATTCAACTAGTTAGTTGTTTTTACGAGCACACTCGTCAAGAAGAATTGGCAACATTTTGTGGTATGACGAGTATACTCCGTTAAAAACGGCTAACTGGTTAAATTCAGTAAGTAAATAAATGTTGGTAATAAAATTAAAAAATGAAACAGACATTTCATTAGAACTTAATTCTTTGTGCAACAGTCACAGATACACTTGTCAAAAAGATTGTAACAGCTAACTAATTAAGTGGGAATTATTAGATTTGGGGACAGTGTTTCAACTCAAAGATTGACACAGCGGAGACATTACTTAAATTTTTCAACAATAAAGCCAATAGCGAAACGTATTAAATTAATTTTTCTCATTATGTAATGAGGAATTAGTAGAACCTTGATTGGTAAGTGTAGGCATAAAAAAGCTTATTAGTGAATCAAATTTTGTTGTTGGTTCCAGATTTTTTCTTTTATAATTGAAGGACCCTTAGGAAAGTATACATCTCTGACAAAGATTTGAGATTTTCGATTTCGAAGTTCAATCTCATTAAGAAAATCGTAATACCAATGCAATTAATTGTTCGTGTTTTCTAACCATATAATGTGATAAGGTTATAATAAAGTATTATTAATATAAGGTTGGTAATATACTTAAGATCAGCTGTGGAAAACGTTATAAATTTTTTTAAAACTAAACTAAACGACCTGAATATTTTTAGATGACCCAAGAACTAATTTACTAGACAATGATTATAATACTTATCTTTTAATTTTGATACTAGTTGAAATGACGAAAAAATAAAAATCTCGTGTTTTTCATCTTTCTTATCTGAGCCTATAACGGAATTTAAAAAAATTCATTTTTTAGGTCTCGATAACTTATGTGTATGAAGAAAATTGTATCGAAATCGGATGACCTTCATACGTGCTATAAACAATTGAAGATCACGAATATCACAGTTTTGTCACGATTTTTGACACTTTCGATCAATAACTGACAGAAATCTACAGTTGTTTAAAACCTTTCAACGTTTGTAGTTTGACTCTGCGTTAACAGATTTCGATAAAATTTTCAGCATGCATATAAGATACCGAAATCTATAAAACGCATTTATTAACTTTTCGTTATAAGCTTGTTCTTTTGTTATCTAAAAAAAAATGTAAGTCTTTTAGATCAATTTTAAAAAATTATACCGTTCTTCAAGTGATCTCAAGTGTATGACCGGCACTGTAAAAAGGGTATTTTATGTGAGTATCGCCTATCTTCTTATAAATCGAGTCAATCTTTCTATTCGAACATATATCATAATAAAATTCGCGTAAAATTTAAACGAATTCAAGCTTGTCACTTTAATGAGGCAGCATACATCAAACAAATGAAAATGTAATTAAAAGAGATCCTAGGAATGTTGAAGGATCAACTCGTAGGTTACTGCGAGGAAATAATCATGAGTAGACTGCGGATTGTGTATGCATTCATAACAAAAATAAATGGATAAGACTATTAACAATAGAACAATTAAAGAAAGTTACACAAAGTTTTCTTTATTCTGCCTATAGATCCGCAGTCCACGCGATTATTTTTAGAGAATCGAAGCAAAGAAGTGACTCGTACTTTCAAGTGGATCGAATGATAAATCAAAGGAACTTGGTCAATGCAAAATCAAAGGTCTCTTAAATGCAACATTTCTGGGCAGCGATCGTGAAAAATATTAGCATATCTCGCGGTGTTCGATACCTCGATATTATTCGACACCAACGTCCAAATGTCTTCGCCGCTTCTCCGGTACTCGAGCTCGAAATATGTGATCGGACAGCCGCCATCGTTCCACATGACCAGATGAAGAGTGATCCAGGATACGTTCACCGTCAAGAATTTGTCGCCGTTGCTCGGCGAGTCGTCCGGCTTTGAGCCCTTCGTAGTCGCCTTCTCGATCTCGCTCGGCGATCCCATGCCGATCCGATTGTATGCGGTCAAATACATCTGATAAACGTTCCCGCACCAAAGCGGCGACAGCACGAAACTGTTGATCTTGTGGGAAACCTTCACCTCCTCCCATTCGCCGGCCTCCCGCTTGTAGTGGAGAATGTAACCCCTGATTGGGGCTCCGCCATCGTCGCCGTTCTTCCACTGGACGTTGATCGAATCACTGGTAGCACTGGTGGCGTGGAGCAACGGGGCCGCTGGCGGAACTGCAAAACGATTTCTGACGAAATTATCATTTTCACCGCTCCGCCATTTCACCGGCGGCGTTACTCTCTCGACGTTTTCCCGATCGAATTAATACGGCGTCCGACGATTTTTCGCGATTCTTAAACGATCGCGTAGACAACAGGGTGATTCTTATTTCTCGACGTTCGATTTTCTCTAGTCTTATCCAGCGAATCTGGATAGAGTAAATTCTCCCTAATTGTTATTCAGCTTGTAAACAAAAGTGGACAATTTGGAAAGATTGACACGATTATTCGAACTCGGCGGCTCATTTTTATGGTTGCCGATTGTCAATTATAAAAGCGAGATGCAAGGCTCGAATAATCGTATCTTCTCTTCCCGAATTGTCCATTCTAGTTTATAAGTTGAAGGAAAATTAGGGAGAATTTGCTGTACATCGATTCTGATGAAAGTTTTGGGAGAGAGAGTTTTCGGAAAAAATTTTTCGGACAAAATGCTTTTTATCATCTATGTTACGTTGGTTCGTGAACGAACAAATGTCTCATTCACAATTTTCGTCGCCACTATTTTATGAAAGGGTTGTGGACTCGTGACCGTGTTGTTACTTATTAAGAGAATCTGGAATAGTGAACTTGCCAATGTTTCTATTTTATGGTAAATCTTAAAGATTTTGTATACTTTTTTAAAAGAAACACGTAGGTCTCATCATGATCGACTTAAAGAATTGCGTTTTAGTCATAACGTTTAACATTATTTCAAAAGTAATGAAATACAATTATGTTTGAAAATGAAATGAAATTGTCGACACGTTTGCTAACAGCGTCACTAGCGCACATAGTCATTACTTAATTTCTCATATTAAATAATATATCATATCCGCTAATAAAGTATGATAAAAATTGTCGCGTCAAAGAGGTGTTACGAATTCTCTAAACATTATGCTACGTGTTGAAATTTTAAATGGTGTCATTCGTAAAATTGATCGACGTTGATAGCGTACGTGTTAACGTTTTAAAATTGTTTGTTTTTCGCTTGCAGATTTTACACATATCAATTTCTCACCAAGTGTTAAAATTTAGGATGTGAAGAGTAAAAAGAAGTTTGATCCCTCTAGCTATGAACAAGCTTAATGGGCACTCTAATGAGCAAACTTCGTTGATCCGATGACCGTCCACTTCATCGATCGATAATACGAAATGGAAGAACACTTCGTCATTCGCGAATACTTTATCACGAACACTTCGGACACAGGTCCTTTATTATTAAATCATACCGTCGGACACTCTGTATCTTGTATTAGTCACTCTAGAAGCATCGTTAGTCGCGGCATTATCATCCTTTCTCTACACATCATTCCCGAAACATCTGCGTACAGTAGAACCTCGATTATTCGAATTAATCAAATGACATGGATGATAGGATATTATTCTCATTATTTACTGTAACTAAATTCTCTTAGCGAGTAAAAATAAAATTATAAATTCTCTTAGTAAGTAAATCCTCCTTCATTCACACTCAGATTGTATACAAAATGGACAATTTTGGAAGAGGAAATATGATTATTCGAGCCTTGCGGTTCGTTTTTATAGTTACCAATTGTCAACAACAATAAAAATAAGCTGCAAGGCTCGAATAATCCTATCTCCTCTTCCCAAATTGTCCAAATTTCTGTACTTGGTTACAAGGTGAAATTGAATTTTTACTGATTTGTAGAGCAAATCGTTGTTCGTGTTTTGTCTTAGACCGCATTGTTCACCTGCGGCACGTGTCCATATAATAAAGAGTTCATATAATAAAGTTCGGATAATCGAGGTTATACTGTGTATACCAAATTATTTTACACGAAACTTTACACGAACGCGTGTTGACTGCAATATTACAGTAAATTTTCTCGAATTGATGCTCAGCTTGGAAACAAAAATGGACAATTTGGGAAGAAGAGTTGTCGACATTAGACGACTTCTCAATTTGTCCATTTCTGTGTACAAGCTAAGAATCAATTGGGGAGAATTTGCTGTACTCATAAGTAATCTTTAAAGCGGTAATAGTAGTCGAGTGGCGCGTGAACATAGTCTTAGGATTTTAAGAAATTGCATGGATTGAATGAAGTTGAGGGACAATGGCGAACAGGTTCGAAGTTTATGCGATGAAGTGTAGGATTCGTATAAGCTGGCTACGAGGTGCAACGTATGTGTGAAATCATAAGACCGTGGAATGTTTGGGATGTTTGACTCTGATAGAAACAGGAGGGTGTCTATGATTAATTTTAGACGTAAAAAGACGGAAGTATACTCAAGGGATTTATATGTTCAGACTGTTCTCCATCTCGTCGAGTTATCCTTCTCCGTTCGAGAACTGACGCGGAGCGCCTCAAAGGAGAAACGCGGTAAAAGAAAAACTCCAGTTAATAAGATCATCCTCCTACTCGTGGGGATAAGATACTTCTTAATTGTGTAATTTCTTAGCTCCACTGTTTGAGGATATTTTCTGTTCTTTGCTTTAACGATGGCTGCGCGAGGAACGGAATTGTTCTCACGGTTAAAAGGACCCTTGAGGTATTCCGAAGCGTCGGAACTGCGCGAATGCAAACGACAGGTCCGGGTTAAATCTCATTGAATTTTTCGACGGGATAACTCGAGACGGGTACCTTGTACGGTCAAACGATGCGTAATCTGGTCGGAACCGAAACGGTTCTCCACGTAGCACGTGTAGTTTCCGCTATCGTCCCTGTGAAGATCCATGATCTGCAGTGAACCATTCTGTAACAGGGACACTCGCGCCGACGACTTCACCGTTTGGCCCCATTGTTTCCACGTTACCGACGGTTCTGGCTTCCCGACGCTTTGGCACGGTAACGTTACGTCCTGCTTCCAGGGAATCACCAGCACTGTGCCGAATGAATATGTCGCCGCCCGAACTGTAATGAACACCAGTTAAATAAAATATTTCCGAAGTTTTTAATGTTTCATATAGTTCCATCGCAAATAGTTTGCCACGACTTTTATTGATCGGACAACTGTTCATTCAACTCATTGCACTTAAAGAATTTTCTTAGATCATCTATTAACAAATCGAAGGTATTTATTTGTGAAGTAGTAAGTAACGTTTTATTAAATTATAAAATAAACAGCATAATAGATTTTTTAAAACAAACATTTTTAAGTTTTAGGGTACCGTAATCGTCTTGTTACGTTCTTTGAGAAGGAATATTCGGTTGCAACGGGTTAATCTTTGAAGCTTCCAATGTACTCTTATGTTCGATAAAAAAAGAGTTTCAATTCCTGCTTCAGGAATTGTGATTCATAAGTGTAAGACGGAGTATTCAAATTTTTAAAATCGACTTTCTTCCAAGCGAAAGAATAATAAATTTCTACTTATATATGACAGTAAATCCGTTGAAAATGACAATTTTCCAAGAAATTAAATAACATGATTAATCCATATTCATTCTTTTGAAAATTATATTCGCCTTTTTCAAATTACATTCAACATTTTGCAAATCAAACTCATTTTTCTGCAAATCAAATTCACTCCAATAATTACTTATGAAATGGAATTTCAAGTTTATATTTAATATGAATTTATATGCTCTTATTTACGAAATTATAAAAATTTCATTGCAAATAATTAAATACGATAATTACTACGGAAAGTACTGTTCGTTTTTTAATTAAAAGGTAATAACATGTTTTCAATACTTTTATGAATATTTACTGAACAATATTATTTCTATCGTGTATTATTATTATTTCTGTCCCAGTTTGATGGTAATTTGTAAATTCCATTTCTGTAAAATAACTCGGTTTCGGAGGCGTAAGCTCGGGCAGTGTTTAGCTGACATCTGCTTAATTTTGGAATTACCTTCCCATCAAGAAATTTTACAGGGAAGGAAACAGATGATACTCGGATGATGCTAGTTCCGGAGAGTATGGCGGATGTCGGAAATTATATTTTCACCAAAAACATTCACCAAATTTCCACACCTGTCTGTAGCATTTTTACCTTGTTTGAATTCGTACAGAATGCAATGTCATAAATGAACTTTAGCAATATGCGACCGAATTTTACTTAACACGTTCAATTAATATAACCGAAACTGGATTGCTACTAACATGGTAACTAGATTCTTGGAATTTTACAATACTTTAGTGACATTCTGTTCGTTCTGTGGTGATGTTCGCCGATACTCGCCAGCAGATGGCTACCTTTTCCGTCATCACCTGTCTAAGGCCCGCTAGATAGCCTTACTGATAAGTTCTCTGGCAGGCCCAGGATGAAACGCGCCCTTTCTTTCCGCACATCATGTGCAACGCCGTCAAACTTCGAATGTATCACGATATAAATGAATTTCCAAATCCGGTTAAAAATTAGTGTCACTCATATGCAACAAACAGGGCAGTCAACCATTGTTTCAGTCAGTGTAGAAGAACACACACGTAGAAATACAGTGTTAAAAAGAGGCAGGCATATACAGAGTGTCCCAAGATTATTGTATAAGCGGGAAATGAGGGGTTTCTGAGGTTATTTGAAATAACTCTTTCCTTAGTGAACCGTCGAATTCCAGTGCCTCGGCCGCTTTGTGTTAGCCAAGCTCGCCTCTCATTGGTCACTGTTTTTCGTTAATAACTCGTAAATGAAGCCACGAATTGCATTTTCGCTAAAGGGAAAAGTTACTTTGAATGACCTCAGGAACCTTCCATTTCTCGCTTGTACAATAATTTTGGGACACCCTGTGTCTACATTTCGAACGAACACGTTCATACGTGTTGAAACTTGTGATAACATTAACGGACAGAACTTTCCGGTAGACCTAATATTTATGAAATTTCGTTCAATTTTTAAATTCAATAAGATCTGCAATAGGCTTAGCTTGGAGTGCTAGAAGGTGAATATGCTCTGCAAAGGGATTCGTTTAGGATGCGCAACCTGCAAAATTATTTGATGCAACCTTATATTATTTGATGCATTTGATTCGAAAAAAGGCCGAATAAGACTTGCAAAAGGATGAATGTATCCAGAGAAAGTGAAAACGACCTGCTGAAGGATGAATTTGATTCGAATAGCTGAATGTGACCCGCGAAGCGACGAATTCGATCTGAGAAAAGGCGAGTATGAGCTGACAAGGGATGAATATGATTTGTGAATAGGTGACTACGAATTCGGAGTGCAAAGCTAGTACTTACCCTCGCTGGAAGGCATGATGGTGATAGGCTCCGTTCGCGGTCCCTCGCCTACCGAGGTGACAGCGGCGATGCTGAACGCGTACTGATTCCTCTTCTGCAAACCTTCGGCCTGATAGCTGGTCTGATGCGGTTGCAACGAGCGTTTATACCACTCTCCCTCCGGGCCGACTCCGCGGATATGAACGTTGTACGACGTGATGTTCCCATTGCTTCTGAGGGGCGGTTGCCAGGAGACAATAATTGATGTCGCCGAGCTGACGACGGCCTTCACGCCGGCCGGTACATCGGGCAGGTCTTCCTTGGTAACGCAATAGTGGGGCGACGAGGTGACCCCGTCCCCAGCCCTCGTCGAGGCCAACACTTGGACAGAGTAATTCGTATACTTGCCGAGGCCGTGGATCGCAACAGTCAGCGCGTTCGTGATCGTCTCCGACTTTGTGGTCTCCGTGAGCGCGTCCATATTCTCCCATATCACCTTGTAGCCGTTCAAGATCCCGTTCAGAGTGTAGTCGGGTGGCGCCTCCCAGGAGACTTGCAGTGATTGCGAGGAGAGCGCCGTGCATCGTATGTCTTGCGGCGGGCTGCTCGGCACTAAGGACATTTCGATGGTGTCAGAAATCAATTACGTTTGTCTATCGAGGCGGGTGCGCTCGTTCACGGTGATACATGATGGAATCTTCGGGGGGATACCGGGTTTGGTGGCTCATAGGGATAGATCGAGCAGTCGTTCATAAATAGAGTGCGGATCTTTATGCGAAATAAAAATTGTCTAGCTCGTTTGCAGTAGACAGGAGTTAAATTGTTTACATTTTTAATTTGTAATTGAGTTCATTGTTTACATTTTTAATCATTGGAAACAAGTGAAAGCAATCGAACAGCATTGTTGAATATTTCCTTTGCACAGTGAATTATTCTCTCCAATTGTCCCTCAGCTTGTGAGCAAAAATGGACAATTTGAGAAGAAGAGATACGATTAGTCGAGCCTCATCGCTCGTTTCTCGCCAATTGTCAACAACTATAAACACGAGCCGTGAGAGAGGATCGAATAATCGTATCTCTTCTTCGCAAACTGTCCATTTTTGTTTATAAGCTGAGGGACAATTAGGGAGAATTTACTATATTTATTCGATTGTAATCGACCTATTCACTTTCGTCGTAAATTTGACGAATGAGAGTCTAAATAAAAAATACGAGATAATTGATATTTTTAGTTTCATTATCATTGATGGGTTACGATTGAAACAAATTATAGGTCAAAGAGAATCAACAGTCAAGAAGTGTAATTAATACATGATATAATATTTATTATCTTAAAGTCGTCAAAAATTTGACCTTTTCGTATCGCTTTTGTGTACATGTTTGCACTTCTTTCGCTGTAACATCTTTTTTTTTTTAACGTCAGCTATTGAAAGCATTGTTTGTACTATTCAATACTCATCCTACTGTACATAAAATAGAAATATCTACAAGTACATCTATCCGCAAACTTGTGTGTTTCTTGGTACTTCTGAACGCTAGTACATGTATTCGTTTGAAGTAGACGAAGCAGGCGATGGCCAGAAATGCTATTGTGTTCGAAAACATGCTTGTCCAATAAATGTTGAAATTCGATTCTGTTGGAAACAAACTTTCCTATTTCCTGCGGCGATCTACATTTACAATTTATTTCGCGAGTACATTCCACGACAAAACCATAAGGACAGAGTTCCGTATGACAAACAATTTCAATAAATTCAACCATTTTTAATATTTGCAATTGTAGTCCTTTTAAAGATGATTTTAATGGCCTTGATCTATGTAATTTACTGGAGGACATTTGAGAAAACGTAAAAAGTTGTGAACGTTTAGCAGATCAATATGACAGCACATTCTGCAGGACATCTGACATTCTGTGCACGACGTTCCAATATAGTATCATCAGATTCATTACAAATGACGGTTTAACCACTTGGCTTATAGTAATGAATCAGACTCGTGACGAAAAATTTGAGCACGATTTATTCAATACGCGTGTTATTCGTTTGTTTTAATTTGGTATTCGTCTTTTGAAAAATTTATGTATACAGGGTGTTAAAAAGAACCATTCAATATTTATATGGTATATAGGATACATTGTAATGAGTAAAAAAGCTTTAGTAAACATAGGTCGAAAGGTCAACCGTTTCTGAGATATAAACATTTTTGTTTGCTAGTATCATGATTGACTTACTTATGGGGATATTTAAAAAGCTTAGTGTATTCCTCGCCGATAAATGACTTAGAAGAATTACGTAACCGAATCCACCATGCTTGTCAAGCAATTCAACAGAAATGTGGAATTTTCAAGAGAGTTCGCGACTCTGTAACAAGAAGATGCACAGCGTGTGTAGAAATGTAAATTGCGGATCTTTGTACAAAATAAAGATTGTTCCCATCAATTGCAAAACAGAGAAGCCAAACACGAGTTTTATCTTTCTTCAATAATTTCAATAAATTGAAATTAATTCTTTTTTTCTCAACATTGTTATAATCTATTAGGTCATTAAGTATGAAATGTCCTAACACATCAAGTTTGATATCCGATGTTTCCGATATTTCACTAGGAAATATGAGAAATATTTCACTAAGATATTTCTGCTTCTTTTTTTGGATTGAGAAGGACATTACGTACTTAATGACCTAATAATCACTGTTTTAAATTGCACCTATTCATTTTCACCATAAAATCATANTGAGATATAAACATTTTTGTTTGCTAGTATCATGATTGACTTACTTATGGGGATATTTAAAAAGCTTAGTGTATTCCTCGCCGATAAATGACTTAGAAGAATTACGTAACCGAATCCACCATGCTTGTCAAGCAATTCAACAGAAATGTGGAATTTTCAAGAGAGTTCGCGACTCTGTAACAAGAAGATGCACAGCGTGTGTAGAAATGTAAATTGCGGATCTTTGTACAAAATAAAGATTGTTCCCATCAATTGCAAAACAGAGAAGCCAAACACGAGTTTTATCTTTCTTCAATAATTTCAATAAATTGAAATTAATTCTTTTTTTCTCAACATTGTTATAATCTATTAGGTCATTAAGTATGAAATGTCCTAACACATCAAGTTTGATATCCGATGTTTCCGATATTTCACTAGGAAATATGAGAAATATTTCACTAAGATATTTCTGCTTCTTTTTTTGGATTGAGAAGGACATTACGTACTTAATGACCTAATAATCACTGTTTTAAATTGCACCTATTCATTTTCACCATAAAATCATAGAGATCCGCAGTCTAGTTAAAAGCTTCGCGATTACAGCCGCAAAGGTCGGTTCTCGTTCACAGCATAGATTCGTATGATTTCGTGGACACCATTGTCCAACAATTTTGCCGCGGAGTGTAGATATTCCCTCCGTTTGGTGGAACATACTTGACCAGCAGCCGCCCAACATATTCCCATCGTGTAAACGGTCTACGATTCCACTATCTCTCTGGTCAGCCACTTCCGTTGCATCTTGTACGTAATGCAACCGAGGGGAAGAAAGTTTTCGAAACAGACCGAACTTTCTATTATTTCGCTGCCGTTACAGTAAACTCTCGTCGACGGGGCGCGGCGGACGGGGATAGTCTAGCGGCAGCTCGAAAATCTGGGAGGAGATTCAGCCGGTTCAGCTCGGAATCTGTTTATTTCGCGCAAGATGTCCGTAAGAAACATTCCGCGGCGGAAGTTCGAGGCGTGGAAAGCACTTCGTAGTTTAACCGAGCCGCATTCACGATGCCCGGGATTAAAGAACTTATTTGCAAGCAGATCAGTTCCAGGCAGCCCGGCTCGCCCCCGCTTTTGAATTTATTATTTATTCGAGACTCGACCGGATATACGGTGGTTGGTATTCATAGCGGAATCCACGATAGGCTCGCTAGCCTCCAGCATTATACTGTTCATGAATTTTTGAACGCGGTTCAACCGCATTCGTTAAATCTGGCCCTGCTAATACCGCAGGCCCTCCTCGACCCCGCCGCGCTCGACTGCCGAACCCATTGATCGGGAATCAAATACGGTAATCAAGGACCGAACAACTGTGCTGGAATCTCGATGAGATAAGAATTTGCTACTTACCGTCCTCGAGGGTGGTCGCCACCACTTCCGGCGTCATGGGACCCTGGCCGAGCGCGTTGTACGCCTGCACGACCACGCTGTACTGCGTGAACTTTTTCAAGTTCGTCAGTTGGTATTGTCTGCCTGGCATCGCGTGTCTCGCTAATCCTAGGGCCACGCTGGCTGTAGAAATTGGTCTCTCGACGGTCCTGTAGGTGTACTGGTCCACTGCCAACCTGGGCATCGCGATAACGTTTAACTCTTCCCGCGGCGGAACTTTTAATATAGTCGGTTATTACAATAGACCGCGAGGCGCGAAGAATATTCGTTAATAATTAACACGTTCTCGGCCCCATAATCGCCGTTCGCCATTAAATTCTCGCAAGGAAGACTCGTCGAAGATTAACAAAGCCATCGCACCATTTAGGATTTAACGAACTCCGATTCTACCGAAGCGACAGATAGTAATCGCATTTTTTCTTTGGAGAAGAAAACAGCACATATCGTACAACTTGACTAATTTTCGTGTCTGGCATGATCAATTAAAAAAAAAGACGCAACGCGGTTATTAGGTTGCTGACTTTATGCATTTATCTCAATCTCTGGTTCAAAAGATTAGAAAGATTAAAAGCAATTTATAATGTCGGTGTACTACTTTTGTTCTATTATTAATATTATTAAAGATGGAACGAAACACCTGTTTGTTGCAACAGACATGAACGATTTTTATTTTGCAATAGGATCCGCTGTCTGATGATCATTGTAGGCGAATCATATATTTTTTTGTGCAAAATGGAATTTCTTTCATAAACTAAGAAATATTATTAATTATTCTGAATACACGCGTTTCTTTGTACTCTAAAAGTACACGGCATAAGTGAGTAAATAGACCTGGCGGAGTACGATTTAGGTGACTTGTACGTATTTGGCAATTTTGTCTACTGTTCCGAACATTAACCCTCGAACGACAGACTTTCCTGATAAAATATAACTGGCTATACTTACGATCATTTATCATTTAATTAGTCAATTATTTTCAACATATTTTTGAAGGTATTCTTTCTAGATACCGTAATGTTTTTACAAGCTTCGATGAAAATCGAAATCACAGTTGTCAGGAACATGACATTAAAATATGAAATTTTGCAGTCTGAACGTTCGAATCGAGTCCGCCGTTTGAGTGTTAAAAATACGGAGCCTTCAAAGTTACGACGTTTTTATCGAGATTTGACAGGATTTTATTGCGATTCATGCGTGGACAGATCGATTGATTCGATCATTTTCCCGTAAAAAGAGTTTACGTCGAAAGCACACGAGAAATGAGGACGGGCTAAGAAAGATCGAAAAGATTGATTACCATTCCCGTTATTCGAGCAATAGCGAAATGGCGAAAAATAAAACGCGGGCGAAGCATGCGAATGCGGCTGGACGTTACGGAAATATTTCAATGTCAATGTTTTTCGAAGGAAATAAATGAGAAGGTCGGCTGCGCGATCCCGCTATTTATCACGGGAGCGTGAAAGTATGGAATATCAGTGTTATTCGAGGAACACGCGAGCCGATCGTAATTTGGTATGCCGCGGCGGAACAGGAAACGTATTCGTAGCTATCAGGAACCGCATCGTTAAAGGGCGCCGTTCCCCCCGGATCGTTACCGATGTTCCTTGTAGCCGACGTGATAACCGAGTATCACGCCGTTCCATAAATCATGATCAGGTGGATCCCAGGTGACGTTAAACTCAGTCGAGCTGACAGGATCCACCTTGAGATGTCGCGGCGGCCCGCCAGGCTTCTCGCCCTCCGTGGTGGTTTCCAAAATCTGAAAAGAAAAGGGATGCGAATCGAGCGATGCGATGCGAGATTACGCGAACCACCTTCCATTGTTCTCTTCATTTCTATCCGACCGAATCCGTTTTGATCGTTTGCTCGGAAACTCAATATTAGCCCCGTCGATACTAATATTAGGTCTACCGGAAAGTTCTGTCCGTTTTTTAATTGAAATATAACACAATTTTCATACATTTAATAACATTTATTGTAGAATACACTTTCCATCGTTACTTATGACCTCTTGTCAGCGCGATGGCAACTTGTAAATGCCATTTTGAATCTTTTTTCCTGTATAAAGTTTTGCAAAGAGAGAAACAAGTGATAATCGGAGGGTGCTAGGTCTGGGGAGTATGGTGGATGCGACAGAATTTCCCAGCCTAGCTCCGCGATTTTCTGACGAGTCGCCAAAGCAGCATGTGGTCCGGCATTATCATCGGTAGCCATGTTTTCACGATCGCGTCTCACTTAATAATGACATGAGACATCTTTGTTTCAGTTTATTTAGGAGAGTACATGTGTGTAAATTCAATGATAAAGAAATATGTCTCAAATCAACATGTGTATATGGATTGAAACTTGAAGTGACACTATCGGGCAGAACTTTCCGGTAGACCTAATAATTGATAACATTTGGAATAACGTTCTCAAATATAAATAGTTTTAGACGATGTTGTTTTTCGAATTTTGTACAATCCACGAAATTTCTGTGCGAACACTTACGATTTTCGAGAAAATGTCAATGTATTTCATGAAGTTTTACTTGCAAGTGTGGAGCCTTATGCATACTACGTCGATTTCATTATGAAACGATTTGTATTCTTAAGCTCCGAGTGTTACAAGTCGATGCGCAAATTGTATAGGAACAGATGCATACAGTATCTAAGAAAAGTATTCGTATACTTAAATTTTTTAGAGTAACTCTATGTAAACAAATGACACATTAACGAAGCCTGTATTAATGAATAGTCTCTCGTGTGTAAAAATAATGTGTAAAACAACTATTTTTGTCGCCAAATTGTTTCGAACGCGCTAAAATAAATAAACTTATAATATTAATAATAATAACACATTGTGCACTGTCTCAAACGTTCAAGAGACAAAAATGCATAAAAGAGTAAACTTAGGTATTTACGTCTCATTCGAGACAATGGTGGTAATATACGTTATTAATATTATGATATTTAAAATTTCGCGCGTCACTTTTCAGTACATTAAAATGTTACACATATTTTTTAACAAATTATCATGGTTTCGATGCTGCCTTGTACATTGTTTTTTCTTTTGCAACCTTCCTTCATCATTTCGTAACCATTCATTACTTGTATTAATATATTACGTACCATTTTTATTGAGAACGCTGGTGCTCTTATACAAATTTCGTGGATCGTACTTTTTTGCTGACAATGCACTCGCAGGAGAGAATTCAACTCCTTTTTTTGAATTTTCTTTAACCTTTTTGAAGCTGACGATGGTTCATAATTATATTCGTTTTCAAATATCACAATATTTATGTGTTTCAACTTTTATATGTTTCAACTCATAATGCCCCACAAGCGTGAACAATAGTTACAATTCGCAAAAGTATGAATTGACAATAATCTGTTTCTTTGTTCTTGAACCACTCAATCTATACATTCAAGTTATGTTTCACAATTATTAACTATAATATTTACTTAACATTTTTATAGAAATGGCGTTCAGTGATTTTGTTAACTGGAGTGGAACATCATCTGTGTGAATAATTGACGCTAGAAGGAGAACAATTGACTAAAAACTCCAACCGAAATGCATCGAAATCAAGAAATTCTCACCGTAACAAAAGTTCCCTAAACAGGCTTGACATACGCAAGAATTGTTAATTTGTTTGCAACTCTATATAAAACAAAGAAACGCGTCATTTATGAATCGCTACCGACAGGCAGCTACTTTAAAAGCGATTAGCAGCAATCAACCTGGTTAAAGGAAAATTCGTCTTGAGGCGATCAAGCGCCGCGCCGCGTCGCCCATTCATTTTTAATCGACACGGCTGTTTAGCGTTAAAAGCGGATCAGCGGAGACTCAGCGAGCAAGAAAATTGCTGGTTAATGCAGCGGCGACGATGCTTTTTTAGTAACGGATTGACGTTGCCCGGAATAAATCAGCTTCCGTGCACGTCAGTCACCGGCGCCGAGTAAAAATGGCCCGTCGCGGGAACGGCTGACGCCTGACCAGCAACAAGTAGGAGAAAACGAAGATCGATAGCACGCATTAGGATAGCGATACTTACGTCGCTCGCCTGACTGCGACCCAGTTCGTTCTCAGCGTAAATTCGGAACTGATAAGAGACCGCCGGTCGCAGGCCGCTCACGTGCGCGAAGGCCTGGCTGCCCGGCACTGTCGTGTGGAACGTGTGTTCGTGCCACACTTCTGCAAAACGAATTGCCTCGATTACCAGGAGAAACAGGCTGCGAGTGGAATTATCCATTATCCGTAACCGGCGTTATCTGAATCCTGTACCATCCGAGAGCTTTACTGCTCGAACGTTTTATTAGACGGATAGAGTGTGCCGCTTGTGTGCGACGAATTTCTGGACCATTCTCGCTCGAATTCAAATTGCCACGCACAGAACGTTAACAGGGAACAGCCGTTTTTATTCCGGATCCCTTCCGAGGGTCGAAACAAATGATTTTTTCGTTTACCGGAGTGTGGACGTACTGGCCAGAAAATATTCGATCAAAATGGTGAGTGTCGTTGTGGAACAAAGAATTTCAGCATTCGTACAAAACGGGAGATGGTATTGCATCTATACTGGACAAGCACAATAGATGCGTTAATAACTAGACTGTGAATTTTTGTGAAAAATAAAAATTGTCTGAATCTGTTACTTAATCTTCCAATTAGAATTCGTATTCTAAGTATTTTAAAAAAAATTAACGATAAAGCTACATTCGAAAAATTTTTGATTTTAAATTTAAGAAATTTTTTCTTCTTTCTCTTTGTATATCCTTTTTAATCTAATTTTTAGGACGCATCTGCACAACAAATAATACAAGCACGCGATTTCACATCGAAAAATCAAAATCTCGACCGTGATTTGAGCTTAAATTCGTCTAATTTGTAGTTATGAATTTTGTCGGTTCATTTTAGTCATAAAATCCACAGTCTAATAATAACACAGTAAATGCTCTTGACACTCTACAAAATACAAAATATTTGTGTGTGTGAGTAGCACGTGATGAATTTACCGCGAAATTTGGGTACGATTAAACAGTTATTCAAGTGAAAGTTCAATTTACTCATTCCGCAGCTTATGACAAAAATAAGAAGTTCTGTGATTTCATTTACTTTTATCGTTAATGAACAAATGATAATGATGGATACTGAGAGTATCTTTGATCGAACTGTTTCTGCCAGCGGTTGTATTTTGCGTATACTCATTTGTTTCACTTTACGAAAGTACTATAGTTTTTAGAAGAAGTAGCTTTCCTTGTAGTATGGGCGATAAGGTAAATGAAATTTATGATTGTTCGTAGAAAAGTTTGACCGTAGAATTTTAGATAGAGAGCTTCAACCTTTCTCAGAGTGACAGATTAAATACTGATATATTGTAGTAACTTTTGTTTTTAGCAATATGGGGTCTAATATTGTTAAAAACTTTGCTCTTTGCAGTATGTGGTCGCGTCGCGTAGTTTTTAAAAAAGATAGCACGCTGTGTTGGATGTTACAGTATCATACGTCCCAAACACAAAATTGTACATACGGTATTAAGATACAAAGATAACACACGCGTGTCACAATCCTACAGTATCATTTCTTATAAACAAAAAATTGTTTGTACAATACATGCGTCAGCAATTGTATGAAATTGAAGTATATGACTGGATCTGTATAATCCAGTCGAAAAATCTACAGAATCAAGAATATTTTACGTGCTTATAAAAGGCATTTTTATCCATTTTCCCATAAAAATTGATCAGTAAAGAAAGCTAATGATTGTTTTAAAAAACGATTCTAAAATAACGCAGTATATATTCAAAATAATATGATAAAATTATTCACAATTAGAAGGACAGAATATAATACCGTCAAACAACTCTGAACGCCTCGTAACTATAACGTATTCTAATATTTAGAGTTCTATTAATGTTCTGTAATCAACAAATCTCAGTTTATTTACTTTTATGGCAAGGAGCCTAAGTAATACTCGCCGCAAGGAAAGAAATTGTTGCGTAATTTGAAAAAGCCTCGACAGCACAAAAGCTTTTCATCCACTTAATAGATCCTCTATTCAATGTTGTGGATTTATTTTCTATTAAAGTCCCTGCCGCCTTCGCATTGAAGACTCAACAGTAAATCCGATTACTTAACAGTGTTCTACCTGATTCCCGAGAACTTGAAGTCATAAAGTTCCATTCTCTCCTTATCTTCTACATTTTAGCAATATTACGTCTACTAAAGGTTGTACCTGAGATCATTTTTAATACAATTTATCGAGTTTTCAATTGCGGTATTGATGCAATGACAATGCTAATTTGATGAGTTAAAGAAATCATTTCTTTGCATATAACAATTCTATAGAGTAGAATCCCCCATGTCGCCTACTAAAAATTGCACCACTGTCTCTGTATAATGCGATTAAAAAGTTGCTCAGAAAGACTTATTTTTAATATGATTAAGATTTATTTTTATAAAATAAATCTAATAATAATAATTTTGAAATATGTGCGTTCTCAAATTGTCTTGAAACAGTTTCGCATTAACTCTTGTGCCGTAAGGAAAGGTCGTTTAAGACTGTATCGTGGAACAGTTATTTCTGTGCAGAATTGATTGTGTTATTTCAAAAAAGAATTCATTTCAATTATAAAGTAGATAATGATTGATTGCCTCAGGGTAAGGCAATTCTGAAGCGAAAGAAGTTTTGACAGACGAGGAAGTTGGTTCAGCACCAGAGAAACAATACCAATGGATTTTAATTTAATACGATTCTGAGGGTGATTATCAGATTTAAGTTGTGAATCCTATTCTCAATATAAAATTTAAAAAATTACGTTCTTGTTGTTTTAAAATTAAATAAAAGATATATTATTTTGTCATATTAAAAGAGGTCTATTTATTTCTCCATAGCTTTTTGCTCTTTTGAATTCGTGGAACTTCACATTGTAGGCCGTCCTAAGGTATTTAAAAAATATGAACTCGCCAGACATTTTCAATAGATATTATCATCTGACCTTCAATAAATAGTCATACTGGCTTAAATCTTCTTATTTTGTCCAAAAAGATTGATACATACAGTAGCGGTCATAAGATGTGATGCATTTTAATTTTAGTTACACATATATTGTAACAGTTAAGTAATAACAATCTCGACACATACTTTTCTAGAAAAAAGTTGGGTAGGTCTAGAAGTACTATCTTTCAATGTACAATTTGGTAATTACAATCTACTTTTACACTTTGTATTATTTTATAAAATTTCATTCATTATTTTATTATTTTAATAGATAATGAACGTCTTTAGATTATTCAAAGACAAAGTCGAAAATCGAAAAATAAGACTTGCATCTGCGACGGCTAATGAACACTGGGCAAATCTGGATGTGCAAAAAATATGATTCTCTAGAAGATTTTCAACCGCATTATTTTCTACCAATTTGTTTCTTACTTTCTTTACGTCTTAATCTTTTGTCCGTTACTGTACGATCACGAAGCTCCGAACAGCGGTGCTTAGTTTCATTTTGGAAAATTCACAGAAGCATCGCTTTTCAGTCTGAAAGTAGAACTCGTCGAGGAACAATCTATCAAAATTATCTACTTGCCAGACTCGGTTTTATACTGGATAATGTATTGCGTGATAGGGCTGTTGCCATCCTGGCTGGTCATCCAGCTGATGTTGATGTACCGGCTGCCTTTCTCGACGACCCGAAGACTCCGCGGGAAATCCGGCGGCTCTGTTCCAGAACGAGATAAGATCGTTAGCGATCGCCATCGCGATTAACGATCACAGTGTTCGCTCTGTGTTTTGCGTGCAGGTGTTATTACGGGACGCGAACCGTCCAGCCGAAACGCATTTCATTCCGCGACGAGGCGCGCGCGTGCACGCGGTTATTATTTCTGTCGTTCGCTCGACGCTTGTGCCGGCGACACATTAAATTAAATGGACGAGTTGCCGAGCGCCAGTAGACATTACGATAATTACGAAGAGCGCGACAACATTATCTGCAAATATCAAGAACCCGGAAACATTATCGGAATTGTTTCGTCGCAGCGACTCGCCGCATTATGCCGATAATATTGTTATCGAGGATTATCGGCTGCGATCGATGGGGAAAAAGAAAACGCAGAGGGGAAAAAACGCTCCCGAATGCCCGCCCGTCGTAACGCGTTTGCAATTTTCTGCCAGTTTTATCTCGATTTTCCAGGCGAAGACTCTGCCGATCGGCGCCGATGCCCAAGGATAACGTTAATAATCGAGTTTCGAACCGAGATTGATGCGATTATTTTACTTGCCTCGCCGCGGCGTCGTCGCGCGGATGAATCCTCGACTGCAGGAAGGGGATATGTCGCGGAATTAAAGTTTCTCAGGAACTTCGAAAGGGAATAAAAGTATTCGAGCAAAAAATAACTCTCGAGAAAGTCGACTAATAGCAGTGGGCTAGTTGGCAGACAGCGATGCTCACTATTATCCTGATATAAAAACTCTGAAATGTGACGTTCTCTTCGTTTCCGTTCCGTAATATCATTTCCCGCATCTCCGAACAGTACTTAACGGTTACGCAATCAAGTAGACAAGCGTCTTGTTGTCCTTTTTATGTAGTTCATGTTTCATTACGTGTGCACGACGTAAGAATTCCGATCAAATTCATCCTTCGTTTATTTCTCGATTTCCACAAATAAATTAATGTGAAATTAATTATTCTTGTAACCGCAAACAACTTTAAAGTTTAAGTTCTCATTAAAAAGTGATTTTTATTAAACGATTCGTCTTGTATTTTACTTCGTCGCTAAGCTGTAAATGAAAAATTATACAGCATGTTAAAAAAAAGCCATTAAATATTTATATGATATATAGGATACATTGTACTGAGTAAAAAAGCTCTAGTAAACATAGGTCGAAAGGTCAACCGTTTCTGAGATATAAACATTTTTGTTTGCTAGTATCATGATTGACTTACTACTGAATTTTCGATGTTTACAGAAGATTTTCCACGTGTTCACCTTCCATTTCTACACACGCTTTGCATCTTCTTGTTGCAGAGTCTGCGAACTCTCTCGAAAATTCCACATTTCTGTTGAATTGTTTGACAAGCATGGTGAATTCGGTTAAGTAATTCTTCTAAGTCATTTATCGGCGAGGAATACACTAGGCTTTTTAAATATCCCTATAAGTAAGTCAATCATGATACTAGCAAACAAAAATGTTTATATCTCAGAAACGGTTGACCTTTCCTTACTCAGTACAATGTATCATATATACCATATAAATATTGAATGGTTCTTTTCTGAACACTCTATATAATGAAATGAATAATCTGTTGAAACTATAATGTATCGTACGAAAATTCAATAGCGTCGACGAAGAACATGTCCTTTCCTAAAGTTGTTTAACTTCGTTAAACACAAATTCAAGAAATATTTATTAAATACTAAATACGAAATATTAGAATATAGAGTTTCATTTTTTGCAGTTTAGTGTTAAAATATCAGTTGCCATAAAAATCGCGAATACCTTGTATGTACAGACGGATCGTCATTTCGTCGTTGCCATGCTCGTTCGACGCGATGCAAACATATTTCCCGCTGTCCTCGCGGCTGGTGCTGAAGAACTCGAGGATGCTGATCATTCCGTCCGTTGTGTTGTCCTCCTTCAGCATGTAACGATAATCGGACAGTTTTTGTTCCAGCTGCATGCCGTTCTTCTTCCAAAGTATTTTCAACGGATGATCGCCTTTCGCCTCGCATCGCAGTGATGCGTTCGAACCAAGTCTAGCGGTTTGATTACGGTGCTTCTCCACGAACTTCGCCGGAACTGGGTGCAAATAATCCGGAATGTCAATTATTCGCTGCTTGGTTAAAGCGAGGGATGATCAAAGGAATCGGATGTGCGTCGTTCATATTGAAATTTTCAAACACCGCGTCTAATGCACATTAAATACAGCGTGCTTTTGGTAAATTAATTTAACGCTGGAACTATCGAGTTCGAAATGCGACTAATGTATATTGTTTTTTTAACAATGACAAGATTAGATTTATTTGATCTTTGTACGATTTTTGTTATAATATATGCTTGAGTAAAGAAGTTTATCCGAAGAGTTTTCATTGAAACATTTTTATAGCATCAGAAATCGTGTTGTGTGTAGAAAAATGAAAACCAGTAATATGTACTAATTTCGTAGGTTTAATGTTACCGTATTTCTCGATACCAATTCTGGTAAAACATGCTCTTTACTACTCTTCTGAACATAGAATGAATTTGTTAAATGAAATGTTGGATTATTCGAATAGAAAGATTAATGGAATGAATATTTTGTTAATCAAAATATGCACCATTTGTTTTAATACATTTTCGCAAACTTTATGCTTTTTGGGTTTTGATAAAAAAATTCCTCTTTCGAAAAAGTTGCAAAAGGATTAGAATTTGTGAGGGATAAAAAACCTGACATTTTACATCACATAACCTAATACTAACGTAAGGAAATCTGCTTTTCGTTGCATTAATTATAAATATAGGAAGGTACACCTATTGCTTCGCCATAATGTAAAAAATTAATTTTAAATTTTTGTTCATATATTAATGTATGATTTGTTGACATTTCTCGAAGGAAATGGAAGAAAGGTATGTTCAGATAGGGGTGAGTACGTGCAGTTATAGAATTAAACACGAACGAAGTTTAAAATGATGGTAAATTATACTTTCATTTCAATAAAATGCTCCAGAGACGAATGATGTTGGAAAAGTACGATATTATTTCACAGGGATTTAACAAAATTTGTGAACTCATTAATGCAGAAGCTATGCGAAATGAAAATTGATATCAACAAGGGACATCATACTTATGTAAGGTTGTAGATAGTAATCAAATTAGCACACATGTAGAATATTGGGAAATATTTGTCACATACTTTTTAAAGTTGCCTTTTTTTTATATTTTGAGGGAAAATATAAATCCAAAACTGTGGATAGGAAACTAAACTACCGATTTAAGTTGTTACGTTCAAATTGTGGATGTAATTTGAAATGTAATCAATCCTCAAGGCGAATACACTACATCAACGTGGGGTGACTGATCACCAGAGTTAGGAAGTAATTAACTATTTCTACTACAACTATTGAAATTATAAAAGTAGCGTTATGAGTTATCTCTAAAAATATATACAAAATCTTTAAATTTGTTATTATTATATATTATTAATGCTAAATCTACCATGTCAGTCAAAATGACCGATCTTCGCAAATTATTGAAATTGTGTAGACTCTTCCTTCAGAGCCGATTTAGTAAATTCCTTTGTACAAGTTTACATTCTAATAAAAATGGTGAAAAGTCTAAATAAATTTAGTTTTGTCAGTTTTATAAAAATGTTTGGATACAGCGAATTTGATAAAATTTCTGTGAAGAGTAGTTTTTGAAAAAATATTCGACATATATTTTTTCATCTGCCATCCTCTACTTTGGAAAAGTAAAAACAGCCCTTAAATATTCCTTTTATCTCCCAAGGACTGTTTTCACCTTTTCAACATGGATGATGGCCGATATTTCTCACTGTTCATCAAAACCTATATCTAATGATACATCCTAATTAATCTAAATAAAGGTGCGGACAAGTTGAAACTTTTCTGTCCTATTGGGGGGGGGGGGGGCTAATTTTTCACAAGCAAATCCAACATTTTGTATATATCATCGAATTTTTAGGATCACCTCTGTACGCAATGCCGCCGACCTCAATACGGTCACACAGTCTAGTCTCTAATGCCGGGATCCATGTGACGTATGCGCAGGTACTGATGTGTGTGCTCTGAGAAACCAATTAAGCAATCCATGTGACGTATCGAACCCGTCCGATAGGACAAAGATCTATGTTCATGCGACGCATGGATCCCAGCCGATGGGACAGAATTTGAGGTTGATGTGCCGCATGGAGCCCGTACCCGAGAAGTTAGTTATTACAAAAATTTAAAAAGTAAAAAGTTTAAAACTTTAAAAATGTTTTTTGCTTCTTTTTATTTCTCTTTTTTTTATTTTTTTTTAAATCTAATTCTTAGGACACGTATGCATAGAAGATAAAACTAGAAAAAAACTAAAACTTTAAAAATGTTCTTCGCTTCCTTTTATTTCTGTTTTTTTTAATTTTTTTTAAATCTAATTCTTAGGACACATACGCATAGAAAATAAAACCAGATGATTTCAAATCGAGAAATCAAAAATCCTCCCGCGGTTAGAGGATTAACATGTATATATTTTTAGAAGCAAGACGTGATTATTATTTATCTAAGCCATTATTTTTTGGTCACGAACTATGAACTTGCTTTTCAGTTAGTTATATTTAAAAATGAAATTGAGTAATAATTTTTCACCAAGTCTCATAAATGTCGTAATTTATGGACGAAAGAATTTAAGATAATCAATACAAATTCTTGATTCGTATTACCCGAGTACAGTAAATTCTCCCTGATTGACGTTGAAATTGTGCACAAAAGTGTACAATTTGGGAAGAGGAGGCACGATTATTCCAGCCTTGCAGCTCGTTTTTGTAGTTGTTGACAATCGGTAATTATAAAAACGAGCTGCAAGTCTCGAATAATCGTACCATCTCTTCTCAAATTGTCCACTTATGTTTACAAGCCGGGCATGAGTTATGAAGAATTTACTGTACTACCCTATCCTAGGATCAAGTAGTACCGATGACTTCCTGCTTACCATTGACAGTGAGATGCACGATCTTGCTGAGACCAGCGCCGATTCCGTTGACCGCCTCGCATAGATAGAAGCCCTCGTGGTCCTCCTGCACCCTGCCAAAGATCAGCGATCCGTTCGAGTGTATCATGAGGTCATGGGCGTGCTCATGAGCCAGGATATCGCGATAATCGCCAGGTTGTTTGCCGCTCGAGCGTCGCCACGAGACAGCCGGTGGCGGAAACCCGCCCGCTTGACAATGAAGCACCAATCGCGACTTTCCCTCGGAGGCACGAGCATCTTGAGGTTCCACCACCCATCGGGGTGGCACTGTTTTATAATACCGGTCGTTAGTTACCCTCGCGCCGGAGAGATTCGCGGCGGCGGCGACGCGGTGCCATCTGAAATTTCGTCGGCTCGTTTCCCGACCATTTTACTTGCAGATCCCAACGACTTTTAATGGGACCGACCGTCCTACCTCCCTTTTTTCCCTTGCCATTCTTCCACCGATACAATTATCGCAGACGGGGGTCGTTAGTTCGCGAGCTATCGCAGACGAGTCTTTTCTCTTAATTGAACGATATATCGGAGACACCTGTATCCACGATAGATTGGTAATAGAGATGCACAGGTGCCAGGATTGCTGGAGGATTGCCACTGGAGACAATTTATGCGGTGTAATGGTCTCCTCGTGGAACCTTTCCTTAAATATCTCGTTATAATTACGGTAGAATTCTCTTGACTGCAGCAATTTAGTAGCTTGTAAGTAGATAAAAGTTAAATTGGTAGGACATCAGACACGATGATGCAATGTGTAGTTTGTTATAGTCTAACATTTTATATGATTTTATAATAAACTAATAGAATTATCAATTGTTACTAATAAGTAAAATATTATATAGCATATTAGTTTAAATGTATTTATGTAAATGATGTACGATGTGAAGGGATGCGATAATTATTTAGCTTCGCGATGAACTTAGAGAAATTTTGGAGAGAGATCACACTCAAATTTCTAAATGGAATTTTATGTATTGTATTAGATGTAGACAGTGTGTGGAAATTGTCGCAGTGGAAGAAATATTAGATTCAGCAAATTAACTGTATCACTTTTTACACTGTGAAAAACGAGCTGGAAAGTTTCACTATTTGGTTAGCCATCACACCGCTATAAAATGAGGAAACAAAAGTGAATAGTATTTTACAGTAAATCATCATAATAATCGGCGCAATTTCCTCATTTCCTATATTTAAGGAACGAGGTTGGTACGGGTAACCGACCAATCAAAAAAATAAATCGTGTTAACAGTCCCCGACAGTATAATTATAGCGAGGTAAAACGGCAGGGTATCTAAATTTTGCTGTTCGTGATTGTAATGTGATCAATTTATAGTTAAAAGCAACTGTATTTTGTCTACTAGCGTTATCTATGTTCCAAGTATCGAAACCGATCGTTCTGAAGTATAATTGAAGAATCAATGAAAAATTTGCATGACAGATCCGATTGAATTTCCTGGAAATAATTAATTGATTTAAAACGGAACAGACGGGTTCTTAGAATCCCAGAGATAATGCCACTTTGTACAACCAACAAGGAGAATTATCGGTGTCTCCCGGGCGAAACAAGATTGCAAATGGCATCGCGTCCTCGTGTAAGCTTATTGCGCCGAGGCAAGAGCGAAGTTCTCGAATTGGCCTACTGCAACTTCCTACTTCAGCGCAAAGTGAAACAAAAGACGTGATTAAATGGCTGGCGCGCCCGAGACAAGGCGAGAAATCAGATGAGTCTCGTCGTTCCGGCCCGCGAGCAACGGAGAAATATCCGATAAATATGTCGGCCGATTCTTTCCCTTCCTGTCTCGGACGCGAAACGAAGGCGGAATAGTGATCCGGGGGAGAAAGAGAGAAGTGGAAAGGTGTAGGTGAGTGAGAAAACTAATACGAAGAAAACGGTGCTCCACGATTTCCTCGATCCGTGACAGAAACAGGCCTAAATAACGTAAACGAGAAACACGGTGGTGGCGGGCACAGTGAAACGGAACAATGCAAATGTCAGTGCTGTGCGGTCATTTCATAGTGAGGAACAATGCTGTGATTGTGCATTTGCGTACATACACGTGGTGGGATTGTGAGCAAGGGCTTTTGTCTCCCTCAAATATTTGCATCGGCCAATTATTTCGGTCGCGTGAATTATAGGGTAGTTGAGCGCGGCGAATAGTTCCCCGTGATTTCGTACGCACGGTCATTTCCATATGCGATATTTCCAGTGACTCTTTGCCGGGGCCACGCCATTACAATAAAACGAAAACGTTCGGGGGGGAATTATTCGCAGCGCGCGACGTCGAATCGACGACACTTTATTCGTTCTCGTACGGGTTGAGAGATCTCTGGGAAACAGCGAGGGGAAAGTGTTCGCGCGGCAGGGATCGGTGCCAAGTGTTCCAGAATCGACTGAACGGAACGGCTAAGAAAAAGGAAAGAAAAAACGGAGGGAAAGGAGAGCGAGCGAAAGACAGAAAGAGAGAGAGAGAGAGAGAGAGAGAGAGAGAGAGAGAGAGGAGAACGAAAACGAACGAACAGAAGGTGTCGGTGCATATATGCGTGTGCTTATTAAGTGAACGAGCCGAGAGTCGGTACTCCAACTTCAACTTCGAGGCGGCGGCTGCTGCTGCTGCTGGTGCTGGTACTCGTACAAAATTCAAGATGAAGTGGTGCTACGCCGAAGCCGAATTTCGCAAAAGTGGCTGGTGCCCTTTCATGCAGAATCCCTTTCTTTCGGAGAGTACCGCGATCATCGGTTCCGGGTCATCGAACTCTGACGACACGTGCGAACTCGCCGAAATATCGATCGATCGATTTACAGCGCTCGACAAAAGAATAAGACACCCGATAGATTTCGTAATTGTTTACGGTTGAATGTAGGGAACATTTACTTTGTATATATCGTATACCATCGTCAGAACGAATATGCAAAATCTTTTGTGCGATACCACTAGATATGTGAGAAAGAAATGTGTACACGAAATGACATTACCTTGTCGAATGTATAAGACACTCGGCTTGTTTTCGAATTATGCTATTCCTGTCAGTAAGCGTTCGATTGCGAATAAATACGAAAGTGAAAACTTGTCCGTTTCTTGCAATGTTAAGTGATTCAGATGAAACAAAAAGTAAGTGATTTGTCGAGGAAAGGCGTTAAATAAGAGCGAGGTTAGCCGAATCGTTCCGCTACGGTCAGAACAGTACAGGGTATCCCAAAAATGTCTCTCAATCCTGAAATGGGGGTTACGAAGGTCACTTAAAGTAACTTTTTTCTTAGCGAAAATGTAATCGGCGGCTTTGTTTACGAGTTATTAACGAAAAACAGAGACCAATGAGAAACGAGCTCGGCTGGCGCGAGGCGGCCCAGCCAACGAGCACACGAAGTCTAGATCTCGCTTCTCATTGGTCACTGTTAATTCGTTAATAATACGTAAACAAAGCCGCGGATTACATTTTCGCTAAGAAAAAAGTTACTTCAGATGACCTTAGGGATCCCCTATTTTCGGATTGCGAGATATTTTTGGGACACCTTGTAGAGTAGTGGAGCCGGTCACTATAAAACGACCAATTAACGTCATATTTATTGAATAAATCATATTAAACTTTTCTACTGTATTATTTCGATTATTTTTGAATAAAGAATAGTTTCTAAACAACAACAATATTTCAAATGTTGTCAGGATTGTCCACGGAATAGAGATAAGTAGACTTTTTACACTTACACGAATTTCACTTGCACAATTTGCTTCAAACAAAATGATAATGATAATAATAATGTATAACGCTCTCTTTGTATTATATTTTCTATAACATTATTGGCAAATCTATTATTATTTGAATCAATAATTTCCTTATCAAAATTAATTTTTTAAACATTTTGTTAAAGAAATGAGCTATTACAGATAACTGCAAATAAACTTTTTAAGAGCAATAAAGCTACGTGCAGATCGTATTGATGCTGGAGATTACATTTTTCAGCATGACAATGCTGCAATTAATTCTCATGTTCTGTATAGAAAAAAATTGTTGCACGAATATATACATTTTTCAGCATAACAATGCTGCAATTAATACTGACAAATCTGATGTTTCGCATAGAGAAAAATTGTTGCACAGATTTTCACATTTTCCAGCATGACAATGCTGCTATTCATACTAAAAATCTGATGGTTTTAATAAAAAAAGATTGTTGCACAAGTTTTGAACAAGTTAATCGGGACGGTTTAAATTAAAAATGAATAAAGAGAAATGTATAGAATGGTATGAAAAATATAGCCAAACTTTCATCGACAGTGTTATACTTTCGTCCAGGCAACGTCAGTTCAGTCTTACATTTCTTTCTGTAACTTTCTATTTGTATAACACAAAAGCTTTAGATTTTGTATACTCGATACTTTTGTATACTCGCACTAAAGATATTATGCGATATATACAATGAATAAATCCTACTAAAATTAAGCTACGGAATATGTGGAATGTCTTATACCTTTGCCGACACTGTAAAACGATTCGGTAACTGCACTCGCTTAACTTCTTCAATATGACGGTAGAGATACGTTCACTATAGTTTGCTATGGTCAACGCCAACGATGAAGAAGCTAAGAGATAACTCGCAAGGATCGCGGTACCTCCTCGAACAGGAAGATCGGGACTGGTGCGATTTGATAGTCGGTGCGCCTGCGAAATACACAACTATACATAGACACAGTATACATATATACGGTGATCGTGATGAATAAACGCTATCATATACATATTGTGCGGTGCTGAAGTGCTTTGGGTGCGTCGCGTTGCTGGCTGGGCGGCTGCGGCTGCGTTTTCGCGCGGATCGTCTCGATTATTGAATATCTAGAGCTGCGTTTCTCTGTTCTATAATACTGCGGGACCGTGACGGCCGTGTGTCTATGTGCGTGTGAAGTATTCCGGTGCCGGTGATGTACGAGCGCGAGAATTTGTATTGCCGAACGTTTCCCTCTTGTGTAAATGCAACGAATGATTTATTCGTGTTAGCACAGGAACGGTGCGAACAGTGATTGTTCGAAACGTGTACGGGAGAGAAATAAAGATAAAACCGATTCGTCGTTTTCTGAGTAATCAAGAGATGGAATTATATACTCGATGGAATTCGCAGCCCTAGGTAGATTGAGACTGTCTTGAAACACGCGCGGCGGTGGCTGCGGCTGCACGGCTGGCTGTTACGCGTGATTACACAGTGATAACGCTAACAATATAGAATAGAAATGTGCACAGAGTCGGCCACCGCAAACAGACTGGTCGGACTGCGTCGCTAAAAATGCGAAATGAGCTTTGAAAATAGGTTTCGTTCGTTATTCAAGACTTTTGAGAGAACGTTACAGGGTGTGCAAAATTAATTGTTATAATTTCTTTGTTTTTTTTTTAATATAATGCATCGGCTTCATTCTCTTTGGGATTAAATCTTTCGTAAAAAGAGCGAGGATGAGCCAAAAATTATTAGCTGTGCAGAAAAGTACATTCAGATTTAGATTTACAAAATATTTGTCATATTCGATTTGGAAATAGTTCTCACTTTTAAGAATGATAAGTTTTATCAGTTTGTCAACTGCTGTGATAAAAAATCTTTAAGATTTTTTTTATATGGAACAGCCTATTAATTTTGTATCATCGTAACAGATATTATTGAAGTGAATAACATTTACTCAAATTACAGAAAGTTAATAATCTCTTCCGTTTAAAATGACGTTAGTGGTCTCCTTTTCGCCCATAGCAGTTGCTCTAAGTAAATTCGTTGCACGTTAATAGATTAACCCCTTGCATCATTAGAAAGATGAAGTCGATGTCTTCATTATATTGGACAGAAAAACAAGTGAAATACGATAATTTTCTTTAGCGTTTAATATACTGCGAATTTTTATGGGAAATGAAAATCATCTACGTTCACTGCAACACAGAATCTACGTAGACATTTATTTCTTTTCTTAATTATTTTATTAAGTTGATAATGCAGTTGATAATCCCTAAATCCTTCAAATGTTTTTAGTATCTTTCATCTGATCTACTCATTTTTGCCATGAGCATATAAAATTAGCAATTTAAATTATTGGAATCAGAACTAGAAGAAATATTTCTATTTCATTTCGATTTTGGTTAGTTTAAAAGCTTTTTGTCGCAACTCAAAAATTACAGATGGTAATATGTTGAAGAAGCCTCTAATCTATTTTCCGATGTGATCGTCGAATAATCCACTTCCTTGTATAAATAAATAAACAACTAAACATTAAAAAGTCTGTGGTAACACTCGATAGTATTGGCAGCATTGGTTTAGTAACTTTGTAAATATTGATTTTCGGTCGGTTTTCAAAGCTTGATTTCAATGAACGTTGAATAAGTTAAAGGGAATCATACAATTCGAGGGAAAATATGTTAACAATAAAAATATATAGCACAGCTATTCTGTGCTAAGTGGAACACTAAACATACAGATATGTTTATACTTTCTTTTGAAATTTCCATGATTTGAGAAACCGATTAAAAATTGAATTGAACGCGACTCGACAAAATAATGCTTGAAAATAATCTGCGAAAAAATATGTTCGCGAAATGATCTTCTGAAATTTTTACTTAAATAATGAAAATTGAAATATACAAAGAAATTATTGCACAAAGCACAATATTGTGTCGTAATGAAATATCGAGTTTGTACAGTAAAATTTTCAATTGTAATAGAAATGTTATAACGAAGTAATATTTATATTTAAACCGCCGAACATTCTATAAAACATTTCTGCGGATAAGCTATATATAACTAAAAATCGAATAAAATTCTATTTCCCCAGCCACGAGCATCAGCGAAACGAAGGCCGCTGACAGTTTATTGAATTTCACGGAATTTTGTATTTTCCAAGTTGCATATAATTTTCGTATCCCATAAATACGTGAAAATCCATAGCCTATACATGGATCTGCACACACACGCGATACACTTTTATTTCGCATTTCCAACGTTATGTAGGACAGTCGATCGTTTGTTTTTGCATAAACCGCTCGGTATACAGCAAATATATCGAGAATATCTAGAAAAAGGTGCGCTGCCAGGTGCAATAACGAAACGTAACAGAAAGGTGATGAAGAAATTGCGTTTGAAGAGCGTAACGAGTGCCTGGCTTGACTTACAGGTGTGGTTATCGATACCGATTCCGATAAATATCGATAACATTCATATGTTGCCGATAATACGACATATCGATAATATCGTTAAGATGAACGGAAGCTCCGAAGTTTAGGTGATCGAAGTAAAGTAAGGTACGGTGAATTTATTATTCGATCAAATGTTTTTATATCGATTTATACTGATATACAGCATATTTGTTGGCTCTAATTTGTTTCCTTTATAAATTTCATTTTCGTTCACGTCGCATGATTCAGCTAAAGATTCATAAAATAAGCGAGATTTATAATAGGAATAAGATCTCTTGCCTCTCTCTCAAACATCCTGGGACCCAATTCCAGGATCCAGCTTAATTTATTTGTTTATTGAGCTCTTCACAAAACAATTTGGGTTGATTAAATAGATTACATATGCAACGTGTCCCAAAAATGTTGAATGATCATGAAAAGAACGATTTTTGAAATGAAATAAAGTCACTTTTTTGACTTTGTCATCGATTTATTAACACAAAACGCGGACCAATCAGACAGCCGATAGAGCTGGCGCTCCGTCCTCGCGAAAGCAAGTGCGACGCTATAGGGTGTTTCAAAATTATGGTATTTCCGGGAAATAAGGGGCTCCTGAGGTCATTTGAAGTAACTTTTTCCTTGGCGAAAATGCGATCCGCGGCTTTGTTTACGAGTTATTAACGAAAAACAGTGGTCAATGAGAGACAAGCTCGCCTAGCGCTAAGCAGCCGAGCCAATCAGGGGAACTGGGCTTCCGTCGCTCGTTGACTCGGCTGCCATGCGCTTGCTGACTTCGCCTCTCATTGGTCACTATATTTCATTAATAACTCGGAAACGAAGTCGCGGATTGCAATTTTGCTAAGAAAAAAGTTACTTCAAATGATCTCAGGAACCCCACACTTTCCGAAAGTACCATAATTTTGGGACATCCTGTATATTGGCTGCATCGGTCTGCATTTTTAACGCATAATTCGTTAACAAAATGGTGAAGAGCTTTTCAAGGGCTTGCAACATTTTTGGGATACCTGTTTTTACGATTATAATTTAGAATTTACAATTTTCAATAAAGATTGCGATAAAGCTACACAATCAGTGTCACCATTAGACTTGACGATATATCAACGAGATGAATGCCACACTAATTTTTCATGGTTGCCCGCTTGGGTAACACGAGTGTCTCATTACGCGTTATATATTACGATGAAATATTATTTACAAAAGACAAGCTAAAGTGTGTAATCATTAGACTGCGGATTTTTATGCAAAACAAAGATTGTTTTANGTCGCATGATTCAGCTAAAGATTCATAAAATAAGCGAGATTTATAATAGGAATAAGATCTCTTGCCTCTCTCTCAAACATCCTGGGACCCAATTCCAGGATCCAGCTTAATTTATTTGTTTATTGAGCTCTTCACAAAACAATTTGGGTTGATTAAATAGATTACATATGCAACGTGTCCCAAAAATGTTGAATGATCATGAAAAGAACGATTTTTGAAATGAAATAAAGTCACTTTTTTGACTTTGTCATCGATTTATTAACACAAAACGCGGACCAATCAGACAGCCGATAGAGCTGGCGCTCCGTCCTCGCGAAAGCAAGTGCGACGCTATAGGGTGTTTCAAAATTATGGTATTTCCGGGAAATAAGGGGCTCCTGAGGTCATTTGAAGTAACTTTTTCCTTGGCGAAAATGCGATCCGCGGCTTTGTTTACGAGTTATTAACGAAAAACAGTGGTCAATGAGAGACAAGCTCGCCTAGCGCTAAGCAGCCGAGCCAATCAGGGGAACTGGGCTTCCGTCGCTCGTTGACTCGGCTGCCATGCGCTTGCTGACTTCGCCTCTCATTGGTCACTATATTTCATTAATAACTCGGAAACGAAGTCGCGGATTGCAATTTTGCTAAGAAAAAAGTTACTTCAAATGATCTCAGGAACCCCACACTTTCCGAAAGTACCATAATTTTGGGACATCCTGTATATTGGCTGCATCGGTCTGCATTTTTAACGCATAATTCGTTAACAAAATGGTGAAGAGCTTTTCAAGGGCTTGCAACATTTTTGGGATACCTGTTTTTACGATTATAATTTAGAATTTACAATTTTCAATAAAGATTGCGATAAAGCTACACAATCAGTGTCACCATTAGACTTGACGATATATCAACGAGATGAATGCCACACTAATTTTTCATGGTTGCCCGCTTGGGTAACACGAGTGTCTCATTACGCGTTATATATTACGATGAAATATTATTTACAAAAGACAAGCTAAAGTGTGTAATCATTAGACTGCGGATTTTTATGCAAAACAAAGATTGTTTTAAGTTAATTGCAAGAAACGTAAGTTCGATAAAAATATTTTTCCTCGTTTCGTCATTTTACTAAGGTCTACGTAATAGAAAGACAATGTCATATTCTTTCAATGTTTCTACAGTCTTATATTTGATGTAGTCATTTTTTCAAAAATGCATAAAATCCGCGATCTAGTAATCATGCACGAGACATTTATCTGACTGGAGGTCTTCGCAACGATGATAACATTGAACAATTTAGAAGCATTGGAATTTACTCGAATTATGTGTTTCTAGCAATCTTGGCACAGCCGGTCACCGTCGACCTTCGCGGCATCCGACGTATTAATGATATTATCGATATATCGTTAATAAGATATCGATGAAATATTGATAATCGATAGCCACGTCTTCAGTTTGACCAACTATCAACCGTTTAAGTGGTGTACCATAACAAAAGAAGAGGAAAAGAAATCGAGAAAAATGAACAGACGAACAAGAAGAACATGAGAAGAACCGGCAGCTCGGTTATTTATTCGGTCTACTTTACCACGAACGATCAATTCGGCCGTCCAGAGGACCTCGGCCACGGAATTGCGCGCCAGGCAAGTATAGTTGCCGGTGTGCGCGGCGCTCACGCGCTCGATAACTATGGTACTGGAATGGGCGTCAATGTTGGTAACGCGTAGCCCGGCGGGTGTCTGCGTGTGTCTGTGACCGGTTAGCCCGGAGTTGCCAAATCCTGGCGATCCGGTCCCGGCGATCGGCTCGCCGTCCTTGGACCAGACGATCGTGAACGGCGGATCGCCCTTCTCGACCATGCATGTTACCTGAGCACGTACGCCCTCCGCGAGGTCCTTGTTAAAGCTAAAGGGAGCTATCGTGGGTGGAACTGCACAAAAAAAGATATTCAAGCGGTGAGAATGTGATGCCGGTGTGGGTGTCGGTGTAAGTGTCGCGCGATTACGCGTCTCGCACCAAAGTGCGGCGCACTCGTCCCTTGCTCGCCGACTCTTCGGCTGATGATGGTCCCTGTTGAGAAGCAGTCTTGCTGAATGATCGTCCAGGCTGTGTTGCAGCGCGCTGGCGGTTATCCGTTCGACGTGCAACTGGGGGAGGGTAATTCTTATTTGTTTTCGCAATTTGAGAACTCTTGGCCAGCTGGATAAGCAGATGGACGTCGCCAAATATGAAATAGTTGTCAAACATATCAGTCGAGTAAATGCTAAAAGCGTGGCAATAGTGTTCCGATGAAATTTTCCGTTGTGATGAAACTTTCCTACCCGTTAATTTTGGCCTTTTATTGCTAATAGATCTGTTTATGATATCAGTACTTTATAAAAACACGTGCGTCTTTTTTTAAAACTAAAATACTATGTTTTTAACTCTGTGAAATTTCAATTATGAACGATAAGTAGTGGTGCAATTATGGAATATTCCAGATTTGAAGTACACTCTTTTCTTACGCTTCATTTATTATTAGGATGTCCTTTTCCAATGCGACGAAGCATCAGCAAAATCTATTGGTCGGGGCAAAGGTAGTGGAAGCCATAAAACTGGCTAGCCATAAAACTATTTATTATTTAAATTCATTTAGAATACGTTATTATAAACAAAGAATATAATTGAGAAAAGAGAAAATTTTTGTTGTGTTTCTTACGAAAGAGTAAAAATAAGAAAAATTGAAAGTAAGTGTTTAATTGCGTATTAAAGGTAATATCATAAACACAGTGCTGAAGTAAATAAATAAACAACATTTTGTTTGGTTTTTATGAAACTAAAAAATTTCTTATTTAGCGAATTTTACGACTTTTTGAAGTTATTTCAATATTGAATATTGTTCGTAATGCTAGAAATTTGAAACTTTTGTTCATTGAATGACCACAGAAATATTTTATTTGTTTATAAGTGATGTGTAAGAATGACATGCGAGAAGTAAAATGGTATTCCATATTTGGCGACTTTCCGCAACATTTTTATGATTGACTCTACTGCGGTATTATATTTGATATGTGTTGATGTTGTTGATTGAGTAATCTGAAGAACTGATTTTGTATCCATTCAGGAAATGGACAATAAAATGCAATAATTGCATAATAATTTACAATCTGCAGAGAACAAGACACAAATAAGGAGGCACTCATTCTATCTTTTCATGCAGAGAGCTTTAAAATGGTCATAAATAGACAATCAAATGTAGTACATTCGCAATTCGTTCTTACAATCTCCACAAAATTATTTTTAATTTTTGTTTATCTTAATGTCGTAATACTTTTCGGTCTCATATTGTTCCCATTTAAGTATCTGATATTTTTACCAACTAATCATTTTATTTTCTTTTATCATTATATTGTAATCAAAAATCAGATAATATACTTGTCACGATTTTAGTCGTCATAGTACATAATGCATAACTATTATCAAAACTTTAAATAGGAACCTCTTACATGTTTATTAACTTCAGCTGTCTGAAAGAGAGAGAGAGAGATCATCTACTTGTTCTCCTTGCACCATAAGAATCAAGACTTGAAAACTTTGAAAAATATTATCGAACGAACAACGAATGTCTATCGATCAAGTAAATTGACTTTAAACGTGGAAGTATTTCTGATTAAATATGTCATTTAAACGAGCTATTTTCCACTCTCGCGCGCCGAATGTTCAGAGCGAAATAGTGAACGCTACGGCATGGCAGTGCCACGAACGGCGGCGACGCGACATAGGAGTTTAAACTCGTATGAATTAGACTACTCAATGATTAAAACGGTAATCCAACAAATGCAGGAGCCAGCTGCTGTCTTCATGCACAAGACTGAGGAACCTGTAATTTTGATTAAGCTCAGAAGTACCGCCCCACATCAGCTGCACGACAAACGTCGCATATTACTTTGTACCTACGAGGTGTACGCAGCCCGACAAGATTTTATAAGAACGAGAACAACGAGTTGAATCGTACGGTTAATCCGCAGCCTTGTTAGAGCGTAAACTGTAGCGAAGTGATTAAACGTGCTACGTCAAAAACGAGAGATAATTTGTATTTTTCGTATGAACCTGGCGAACGTGACGCGCTAATAATATCGCGTTCGAACGATGGCAGGCTGGGCGGGTGGTGCGATGCAAGGTACGGTAGCTCGACGTCAGCAGCATTTCGTTCTTTGAAGGATTAGTTCGCACCAAGTGCATTAACTTTATTGTAACGTACGTATTGGCTCATATCGCTTGATGGTATTAGCTGGAAGTAGTCTTCGCATTACGGTGCCCGTAATGGACAGCAGTTAAGCCTAAAGCGATAGCATCAGCGCTGCTTATCAACTCGACCGTGCGTCATTACGCGTACGCCATTATTCGAACAGGATCGTATTAACATTGACGAACTCACGGTGGCCGCTGGGTGCGGTTATCGCCGCGAACAAATGCTGGTCCTGGTAATAGAATGGGGCGCCTATTTACGATAGCTAATCTTATTAAAAGGGTTAATGTTATTGATGTTATTAAATTTTCATAGATATCGCAGGTTCAACGACTGATACGGTGTGCGTGGATGTTCGTCTCTGGCTGTGCCGGTGTGCGTGCGTGTGTGCGTATGCTCCTACATAATGAGGTCGATTTGCCCACTCTTTATTCCGCTCGTGTTACCGAATAATATATGCAAATTATCTTATGATTTAATTCCATTTAAGTGGATTTCATTTCGTTTGAGCAGCTCACAGAAATACGTGCTCTATTTAAACTCGAATTCTCTTTTTACGCGTTCTTCGTGCCGTTTTTTAACGGAAGAACCTCTGATAGAAGGAATGAAATTTGAACTGAACCGGTTCAACTAAAATAGTGTTCTTGGAGCAAGAATAAATAAGGCACACACTTCTATCGGTTCACACTTGCACTCAGCAGTACCCAATTGATTGCAAACAATACTGTTTTTAAACAGTTTAAAGAAGAAAGAGATAGAAGATATCGTTTCTCTTTAAATGTCAAGCTCCTCGCTGAAAAGGCGGAGATGCATTATTCGAAGGACAAAGAATTGTAATACGGCTGAGCGACAGTGCACGTCACGCTTTCAACTTGTACAGCACATGTCCGCATATTTCCTGTTTCCACGCCACACAGTATAATATTGCGATAATCCAGGAGGATTTAATTCTCAATGACTATTTCTTTGTTTCTTCATTATGTATTTGATTATAATTAAAATGGCGATTTATAATCATTTTTGACATGACTTCGTAATTTTAACTAAAACATATTATTATTATTATTATTATTATATACTATTTTGTATTTATTTAAAATATATTATGTATACGTTTGTAACCACGAACAAGAAAAAACTGCTCAGATCAACGATAGGTTAATTTGAACTTAAATAATAGGACCTTTCAATTCGAAAATAGATGCAAACTTGTTTCAATTTTCTACGAAATAACGAGGGAACATAACCCCCATTTGTGTAATCCAGTACGTCTCTCTAGCCTTTCATTAGCAACTTTAACATTAATTATCTCAAAAACTATAAGCCATCTGCCTCCAAAATCGGGTATCATTGGATTCAGCTTTACAAGTTCTATCACTGTACCTAATCTCATCAAAAGGCGAGCGTCAACTCTGGGGACCTTCCCTTATAAGACTTCATTTTAGATGCTTAGTGAAGAGCGAAGATCGTGTTTGCCCGTATAGTGAAGTTTCAGTCTTCAGAATATTGATGTATAATTAAAAGTTCTTCGACTTTGTGCGATTATATTTTGCAAACTATCGTATACTCTGTGTAGAAAATTTCTCAATAAATGCTATTAAAAAGACAGCTTAAAGAGCTGGAACAATTATCAAAATGCATATACAATAACAATGTTCTCAAATTGTTCGCAAATGTTCTCGCTACGAAACAGTGTCAGTAACCATTCGCTTTCAGAGAGTTCGTTTCAAACTTTAATTTATCTTTTTTATCCCCGATTATAATATAATATTAAGAATAATACTTATTCTGGATCACCGAGATGTTGCTTTCAAATTGAGGCAAACTTGGTAATTTTCTAAATACATACAATTTTGCAATTAGATCCTCCTCGGTTGTCGAAACATCGCACGGTGCGCCGTCGAGAATTTCAGAAGAGCAGACGTATTTGTATCAGAATTAAACAAAAACTGTTTCGTATGAAAAGAATTATCGCAGGCGGTTACATGTTTTTCTCGAACGTAGCACGAAGGATAAATGGCTTCGGTTATTATCAGACGTTCTGCGTACAAATGTGTGCCCCGTATAAATGTGTATCCGTATATTACACGGGGCAAAGTTCTATCGACGTACAAACGAAATTGTTCGCTCTATCGAACTTTTTTTCGACCGCAGACACGAATCTTCCGCTGTGCCGGCAGGGCTCGTCGCAGCATGAAAACCGGACGTAATACCGGGGAACGACAATAATAACTCGCCTCGTTGGCCTCGGCGAGAGATACACACGGAGGCTGGGTATTTAATGCCCCGAAGGTATTAGAACAGAACCGTGGCGGTTGTTTGAGAATAATTGAGAAACCGTACGAAGGGTGGCAGATAGCAGCGGCGGCGCGGCGTACGAGTAATGCCGAAACAGGCGGCATCTGTGAGCACGCGTTCGTGTGCGCGATTATTAACATATCGGATACGAAGTAAAGCTGCGACACCGAACCATGGAAGAAATGGCACAGATGATCTAGAATTTCAAAGTATGTACCGAGTATGCACAGGCTGTTCTACCCTACGCGATTACTTTGAAAGTCAATGCGAATCGGTAATCTGTAACATGGTTACAGGATGTCAGAGATAAAGTCGTTGGCTAGTGTTTTTATCAAAGCCGTTGATAAAATTTGACGGACGGACAGAAGGAATTGGTATCAATGAGATTTAATCCAATTTTCATT